CTTCTTATTAGAATTCAAGTCTGTATTTTGTGTCCGTGATAGGAACTCACACATAATTTTCTTTCTCAAATGTCCTTCTGGCAAATAGAGTCTACTTTGCTTATAGTAGATTAATCCATTGACTCTCTTAACGATCTTAAATCTAGGGAACTTCAAAGATAAGCCTTTCTTTGGAATCGGTTTGTAGTCAAACATCTTATTCAATTCCTTAACTTCTTCATCTTCTTTGTAACCTTCCTTAACTTCCACTTTCAACGGTGTATTGTTTTGGTTCATCACCATGGTCAATATAGTCATTAGTTCCTCTCTTCTACTTAATGCATTTGGCACTGAGTTTTCACGTCTAGGCTTATGGATGACGGTTACATTCATGGAAGTGATTACATCATATCACCTCAATTCTTTAGGAGTGGCTTATGCCTTGGTCTTAAGATACTTTAATGAGATGTTATTAGTGAAAACCTTTGTTTCCAAACTTTCCAAATAATGTCTCCAAGTCTTGAGGCAATGGACAACTACAAAGAGTTCTTTTTTGTGGGTAGGCCATCTCAACTGGCTTCCCGTGAGTTTTCTGCTTTCAAATGCAATGGACCTTCTCTCTTGCATTAACACTCCTCCTATGGCAAATCCACTTGTATCCGTATGCACCTCAAATTTCTTATCGAATTTTGGGTACTTGAATACTCCAGAAGTACTTAAGGCCTTTTTGAGTGTATCAAATGCTTCCTGGCATTTGTTATTCCATTGAAATCTCTTGTTGTCTTTGGTCAATAAATCAAAGAGGGGTCCAACAATCTTAGAGAAGTTCCTTATAAACTTTCTATAGTAGTTTGCTAGTCCTAAGAAGGCTCTTACTCCCTTTTGAGTTAGAGGCACTTCCCACTCTTTGATTGCCTTCAACTTTCTAGGATCAGCTTTAATCCCTTCATTGTTGCAAACATGACCCAGGAATTCAATTTCTCAGAGTGCAAACTAACTTTTCTCTACATTAGCATAAAGCTGGTTGTCTCTTAGCTTACCAAGCACAATTTCTATATGCTTTGTATGTTCCTCCTCAGTCTTGGAGTATATCAAAATATCATCAATATAGATGATTACATATTCATTTGTTTTTTTATGGAATATTGAGTTTATCATTGTGGTAAATGTGGCAGGTGCATTACACAACCCAAAAGGCATTACCACAAACTCATATGATCCATACCTTGTCCTACAAGCTGTTTTCTCAACATCTTCACTAGCCACTCTTATTTGATAGTAATCTGACTTAAGGTCTATCCTTGTAAAGAATTTGGCTCTTGTCAATCTATCCATTAAGTCGTCTACCCTTGGCAGAGGATAGTTATTTTTCACAGTGATCTTGTTGAGGGCTCTATAGTCTACACACATTCAAAACTTCATGTCCTTTTTGCTTACAAATAGAACTGGAGCTCCAAATGGTGACTTGCTTGGTCTAATGTACCCTTTTGCCAATAACTCCGTGAGTTGTCTCTTCAACTCTTCCAACTCTCTTTGGTTGAGTTTATAAGGGGCTTTACTAAGCAGTGTTGAGCCTGGTACCAAGTCTATCTTATGATCTACCACCCTTCTTAGTGGGAGTTCCTTTGGCAAGTCATTAGTCAACACGTCCTTAAACTTTTCAAGTACACTCAGAATATTTTGAGGTAGGCACTTTAAATTTTGTGTTAAACCTTCTTTATTCATTGCATATGCTTGAAGCAATAAATAGGACATATCACTAGTTAGTTGTCCCTGACTAACCAAGTCGATACTTAGGCCTTCTAAACTAGGTTCTCTTATATGAAGTAGGATAGTTGGCTTTCCATTTGTTCCAACCATCAGAACTTCCAGTTTAGGTCTTCTCCTAATCTCAACTCCATAAAAGTCAAGAAACGTATTGTCTAACACAAAATCAACACCATTGAGGTCACACACTGTGAAATCCTCCACTATTTCGATGTCACCTACTTCAAAACTTAAGCCTGCAACTACTTGTGTTGCCAGACTGCTTCTTTGTGTAAATGCTACCTTCACCACTTCTTTGGTTGGCTCCATCTTCAACCTTATGCATGCAGCGCATTTCAAACTTACGAACGAGTTTGTGGCTCTTGAATCAAGCAACAGTGAAATATTAGTATCCTTCCACTTACCTTTTAAATAGAATAATCCTTTCTGATGACTTAATACATTTAACTTTGCCTCGAATCCTCCTTCAAGCACCCTAGCTCAAAGATGAAAACTCTCTTTAATCTTTACCCCTTGCTTTAACGACGATTGCACATGTGATTCCTCAAACATGGCCTTAGGCTTTATAGGCAAAACATGGTTTATAGGTATAACCTCTCTTATAATATTTAATACCTTCTTGCCCTTTGAAGAATTAGACTTGGGTTCATTAGTACAATCTCTGGCTATATGACTACTTTGTTGACATCTATAACAAGTGTCATTATCATGGCGAGATTTCTTATCTCTACCACCTTGGTCTTTTTTGACCTTGTGGTCTTCTATTTCAAATTTCCTTTTGAAGGTTTTATTTTTGTTTGGCTTGCCTTTGCTTTGGTTGGAGCTTTTCTCCTTCTATGCACTATGGCTCACTCCACTTGAGGAGCTTTCTACCATTAGCTAATCAACTAAGGCCAATGCTTCATCTAATGTTTTAGGAATGCTTTCTCTTTCAAAGTATTTTTGTCTTATGGCTTCTTCTAGCCTTGCATAGAAGATCACTAGCTTTGAATACTCATTCATTTTCTTACAAGACACGATCTTAGCTTCAAATTCATGAGCATAATTTTTAATGGACTTTTTTCCCATGCCCTGATTTAAGTGGACTATGGCAATGCCATCTAGGAAGTGTTAATATCTTGGCACAAATCTTGCCAACAACATTTCTTTAACTTCTTCCCATGACCTTTCCATACCATCCAATGTCTTGTTCTTTTCTGACAAGTACCACTCTAACACAATACTTTCCAGCAAAGTAGGTAGAGTTTTCACTCTCCTAGCGCCCTTAATATCGGTTGCATCAAACCAAACTTCAACTTCCTCAAGGAATTTCCTCATAGGCCGCCTTACCTCTACATCGTTCCACTTCTTTGGAGCTGGGATTTTTGATAAGGTTTCTTTGTCAACTCACTTTGATCCCATCCAAAGTTCCCATTCTTTTGCCATTTCCTCTCTCACAAGCTACATGAGATCTAAAAGTGACAATTACTTTAAGTTCACCCTCTTTTGAGGTTTGGGCTGTGTTGACAAGGTTTCCTCCTGAGGACTCGTCTTTATCTCTCTTAAAGGAGTCTTCTCCTCTCGGGTTTCTTCTGTCACTTTCTTCCGACTATATGGAATCAACACTCCCTTCGGAACGAAAGTGACTTATCTTCTACGGTTCAAGAACAGGCGGTGCTTCTTGGACTCCAACCCCTTGGATTTCGACCTGTTGCTAACACGATCTCGCAGCAGCTCTCTTTTCCCAAGCCATAGCTAAAGTCCGTGCTTAGGTCTTATCACTACAACTTGATCTTGGTCTAGCTGCGCTCTGATACCAATGTAATGCTCCAATTCTTCACTAAGAATCAGCAACACTCACTACCTGCACCCAACCAGCCCTTTGGTTAGTTATCGGCCAACCCTTACTTTGTCCGAGTCAGACTGCGACTCCAGTCCAGACTCATGGCCGGAATCTCGAGGTGCCGGGGTTTAGTCACTCGAGACCAGATTCCCCTCTTTTCAGTGAGAAGTGACTCCGCCCGTTACCTTCTCAAGGCCAAGCAGTCTTACGGCCTTTGCCTCAGGCTGGCGTCCCCCTCCATAGTCCGGGCCAAGAGACTATCCCATGCCACTATCGCAACATGATGGGGCTGAGGGAGTTCCCGAAGGCTTAGTCCTCCGCGACCTCCTTGAGAAGTCATTGTCCCCAAGTGCCGCCCTTGCATTACCTGGGGGACTTCTCCCTTTTGGAACTAGCTTCTTACTTCCATCCCTCATGGTGGAATCCTCACGCGAGTCACCTCTTCTTTGCACACTTTAGGGAGGTGACAGAGATCATTAAAGCCAACATTCCATCTTCCACTACAAATTCTTCCAGAAGCTAAAAAGAAGAACTTCAAAAGATCTCTGACCATCAAATTAAAGTGGAAAATAATATGAATTTCATCAATCCTATCAATTCCTCAAATGGACAATCAACAACACAGTCACGAGCTCCCCACCAGAGCTAACATCACGGAATACTAAAGCTCCTCGGATGCTAAAATAAGCACGCTACAACGAAATTCACTCACTGGAGCCATAAACCAACGCCAAATCCGCAAGAAGCAAGCTCAAACCTCGTATCCCGTTCAAACTTCAAACCTCACAAAGCTCCAATCCAGAACTCCCGCTAGTAGCACCACGCAAGGATGCTCTATCCTTCCTAGTCAAAGAGGTGTCTCGAAAGCCGTGAAATGGCTGTTCCGGTGGAGAATAACGAGGGCATGAAATCTAACGAGTCAGCAAAGCTCTGCGATGCAACAAGGTGTGCCGAAACGCCATGAATCTGTGCGGGCCAGAGGCTCCATGGGGACAGCCTTTGCGAGCTGTGGGCAACGAGCAGCTGAGCATACTCCGTGCGAAAGAGACGACTCTTGGATGGATGAATGAATAATGGATGGACGAATTCCCCATGCATGGATAAAATAAAGCATATTTTTCTTTTAGTTAGTTAGTTGTTTGTTATTGCTTTTCTTTTCTTTTATTTTCTTTTTCTTCCTCTTGTGTAAGTGGCACGAGTTAGAAAAGTGTAGTTGGGAATAATGTACTCTACATGTTGACATGAAAGCCACGTGGCAAGCTAGGTTGGACACTCCCTGTCATCACCAAGTCGACGGACGGTGTTCGTCCACGCACCGACGAACAGACGGACGGACAAACGGACGTTGGGATATCGGCACTGAATCGCCATCCACCCATGGCCCAACGATCCCATCCGATCCATCTCTTGTGGCAGCCTCCCTTCCCCCTCCCCCTTCCCCCCCTTCTTCGAAGAATGAATCCATGGCGTTGCTTTCTCTCCGCTTCCTCACAATCAAATCCCCCTTTCATGCTGCTTCCACACTTTCTCCGGTGTAGTCTCTGCTCACCTCCTTCTCCTCCTTCTCTTCTTTCTCTGTTTCTCTCGCTTGCTTGCGTTTCTTCTTCTTCTTCTTATGAAAGGCTGCTGCTCTTGCTTCTGAATTATCTTTCTACCGAATGCTCCGACGCCTCTCGCGAGCGGGTTCAGTGGCATTGAGAGGAGTTTCGCGCCATGGCGTCGTCGCTGCTGCACGTCACCGCCTCCAATTGCTCCACTCCCTCGGTTCATACTCTCTTCCTCCCCCCTATCTATCTGATTCTTGTTGACGGAAATTCTGTGCCGCATTGGAGGAGGTTGTTGGAGTTTGGCGTTGTCTGGTTTGTTTGCTGTGAATTGAATACGCTCCGCGGAGTTTTTTTTTTAGGACTGGGTATTGATTGGTCGAATTTTTGTATTTGAGAAATTTGAGCAGCAGATGCCGTGGTTTGTCTGTATACGTGTAGATGATTGATTTAGTTTTGCAATTTCTTCCTTTTTATTTTGTCTTTTTAATGTTTTGAGCTTTCGAATTGAAAGTGCGTAATGTGGAAGGGTGGATTTCAATCGAGAGGATTTAGAATTGGAATGAATGTGAGCGGGTTCGGTGCCCGGGTAGTGTGCGTGAATCTGGAAAAATCATATTAAGGTGGAAGTGTGGTAGGGAGTGGTTGTAGGAGTAGCTGATAAGCTGCAGCAAACCTAGGGTTCATGTATTTCACTCCCTTACTCTACACCAGCTGTATTCGTTAATCACGGGAAGCTCTTGAATTATTGCAACAGCTGGTTCAATTCCTCGATTCCTTCGCAACCTGCTAGCTTCATCGTTGGTACAATTTTAGAGACTATTGATGACGAATTGGTCACAGAGATTCACACCTAGTTATGTTTGAGCGGGCTTACTAATTTTACCTGACGAATTTATCTTCGTGCAGCGACGTGATGGCTTAAGCAGTGTGCTCTTTACTACACAGTTTAGTTTCTCGCCTAGCAATGTGTAGACCTCATGACCTAAAACCAGGAGCAGGATTTTGTGTTTTTCAGTTCGTTATCATAATATGTTCGTGTATGTCCGAAGGTCATTTTCTTTAGTCAAACACTCCGGTTGAGGTTTATTTTTGTGTGGTGCAGTGTTCGTCACGGGTGCGGAGTCTGTTAGGTAGCTCGACAGGTGAAGTTGCTGGTAGGGAGCTGGTAACTGTTTACTATGGATCCCATCAGCCTCGAAATTTATCCACTACAAGGTATGAAATTGGCTCGAACTAATAGCGAATTTGAGGTTCAATGACGTGGTCTTTGATCTGGATTTTGCATGCATCCAAGATGTTGATCGTTGCACAATTTCAGGCATAGTATAGGAGATCCACACGCAGAATTAATCGTTGAAACTTCAAATGAGGAAACGTCGAAAGGTAAAACTAGAGAGAAGTTCTGTAGGGGTGGAGGGGCCGGTGGACGCCAGCGTCTCAAAGCTCGTGGGAGTTCTCGCGTAGCTAAGGAAGCCTCCAATACTGTAAGTCATGAACCATCATTGTAGTCCTATTGTGGAGCCTAGTGCAGGATTGGCATTGGTGATGCTGAAGCCTTGATTTTTTCTTGTTTGGCATCCATAAAAATTGCCCCTCATTTACCAACAAATAACGATTAGTAGACATTCTTTATTAATAAAAGAATGCTCTTTGACAGATAAACGTTATGGATAATAGGTTCTAGTGGTTGCATAGGGTACTAGGGTTCCCGTCACATCTTTCCCTTACGTCTACCTAGAGTCAGGGGAGAGCACATTTCGTCACTTGTTTGAGTATTCGAAACGGTGGTTCACAGACTGAGGTGCTGTTTACTCTCCCCCCTTGTGATCGCTGGAATGGGAGTTGTGGATGCAGTCATATACGCCGAAGTTGGAATGGCTGAAGCAGGAGGGTGTAGATCTTACCAATGAGGTAGGATTATTCTCCTCCTCGCTGGTGCGAATTCATGCATCATTTCCATGTTCGTATCTGTTTAAAAGGCTCTGATTCTATATCACAGTGGGCTTTATGCTTTTGAATTTATTTCCTGAACTAGCTTTGTGTCGTCAAATGTGAGGGTTGACTGTGCTTGTCGTGTTGATGCGGATAGTGTATAATTGAAGAAGATGAGTTATGCTCAAGATCTGCATCAGGCTTATTAAAATTACAACAAACAATATGGCGCATCAACCGGTCCATCAGTCGGTGTTCGTCTCTATCAGAAGCTTTGGAAGTTGTAAACGAGATGAAAGCAGCTGGTGTTAATGCTGCCAATGAAGGTACTATTCATGTTAGTATGTGTACAATCTTTAATTCAGAGGCGTTCATCGAAATGCATCATTTAAAGTCTTGTCTGGTTTCAGATCTTATGTCGAGTTCCACTAATGTAACGTATTTCAAATGATTGGGTTTCTTGGGAACACAGATAACCTGAAAGCAATAATGCATGCGGCTTATATTTTCTTATATGAATGCTTTTTTGGGGGATGTCAATGTGGACTTCAGGAACTTATTTGGCGCTGATTACAGTTTGTAGACGACAACAAGAAGGAGATCGCGCTTTGAGCATTTACGAGGTTGGTTCGCATGTCACTTCATTTTTGCAACTTATTCATCGGTTGGTGGATGATTTACATGATGGCTGTTTTCATCTGCACTGATAGTTTAGGATCTGAAATCACCTGCTGCCCGAAGTTTTTTAAATCTACTCTGGCACTTGTATCATCGAGACGATTCCGAAGTCTAGAACTGATCAAGATTACAGCGATTCTCTTTAAGATGTACGTACTAGTTGGTAAATGATATTCGGTATGACGGTTAAAGTGATCTGTTGTGGCAACAGGCAATGAAGGATGCGGGGGTGATACCAAGTGTACTTACTTATAATACTCTTATTTCGTGCTGTCAACAAGCAAAACGTTTAGAAGATGCTTATCGAATCAAGGTCTAGAAAACTTTCAAATTTCTGATGATTTTCTGAATTTTGATGATGCTGAGCACTAGATTTTGGTCAACTTACATTAGAATCAGCTAAGCAACTTTAGTATTATTTGAAGATTTGTAGCTTAACTATACAGTAGCTTTTCTTAGGATATTGCAGTGAGCTTGGTTGGTGGTATTGGGCAATCTTTCAGTTTGCTGGCTCTATTTCATTCACGTCACCTCGGGCTTAAAAAGGATGTGTTTTTTCTTTTTCTTCAGACTTAGAAATTTTTTATCTTAACTTCTGTTTTAATGTTTGGTTGCAGGCGGAAATGGAAGCATCAGGTGTAAAACCAGATGTTGTGACATACACTGCTCTCATGGCCTTAGTTGTTAAAACAGGGCCTTATCGGGGTCGGTCCTCACCTGCACAACGGTACGCTCTCTTTGCTTTGAAATATCTTATGCTGGCGATTGTCTCTGATGAGCTGGTTCTGTACGAAAGCTTCGGAATATGATCAACAAAGTTTGAAGGCTTTTGATTCTGCTGGTTTTTGGGCAGGCTGGAGAAAGCCTTACAACTATATCAAGAGATGCAAGATCGAAACATTCGCCCAGATTCCATTACATATAATACACTCATGTTTGCTGGTGCGCAGGCGAAGGTGCCAGAAAAAGTGTTGGTAAGCTCCCTTGTAAGGCCTTGCTCAAGTCGATGTTCAGCAAACAGAATCGCAAAAAGCGAGTGGAGAAATTAATTTAGTGATAATGATTAAGATTACCTACACACACACTTTTCGGAGTATCATTATCTTCTTGTTGCGCATTTACTGATTGGCTTAGTAAAGAAGCAATATTTTTGAGACCTTAATCGCTTGGTACCGCAGGAAATCTATCGTACGATGGTTGCTGCTGGAGTTCCACCTGACCAATTCACTTTTAGCTTTATTCTAGAATCAGCAGCAGCTGGGGGCCGGCTGAAGGTGGCACTCGAGGTCTTTGAAGAAATGCGTGCAGCTGGGGTGGCCCCAAAGACCAATACGTTCAATTTCCTTATTGAAGCATGTGCATCAGCTCCTTACCCTGATGTAAGTATTTCTTACTCTAGAAAGGCAAGAAGTGGAAACTATAGCTTGAGGATAAACTTAAACATTAAGCGAGTTTAACGTCTCAACGCTTCAGGAAGGGCATCGGTTCACAAATTCATCAAAAGGTTTTTACTGGAGGGATGATTTAGTGATTGTGTTCAGCGGGAGTTGTCGATAATGATCTGTACATGTCATTCACATAGTCAATTCTACAACAAGTATTACAAATTGTTTTATAAGTTAATCTAGAGGATTTTTAGTCAGATAAATACAATTTTAGGGCTATCAATATTTTCTTGAAATTTTTGTTTGTGGTTGAGACCATAAATTCTCTGCGTGGTGGTGGTGTTTTTTTTGTTTGTTTTTGTTTTTGTTTTTGTTTTTTCGATGTTATATCATTTCAGGGGTCACATTTTAAACTAGAAGAGTACCTTAGTATATTTTATTTTTATTGAACATCTAACATTCATGCAAAGCAGTTTCGGGATCTGTTCTGTATCTAAATGACCTAATCGAGAGAAAGATTCGTTCATCAGTTTAGTGTTTGAATGCGCGGTCATTTAGTACTTAAGTTATTGTTCTGCATAAAGTGTGATGCAATGTCTCTCTCCTTTTGTGCAGGCAGAGAAAGCATGGGCGTTGTTCGAAGAGATGAAGACAATAGAGGGTGTAGTTCCAAATGCTCAAACTTATAATCATCTTATTACAGCCTCATGCAAAGTGAGTAACTTGGCACAACTTCAGAGTCACTCTTTGCCGTGCTGTTCCCAATTACATCTGATAGACTGATGGTCCGTCCTACATGTTACTGTTACGTGAACACAATGATGTGATGGGTTCATTTCTTTGTCTCTCTTCGCAATTGAATCCCTCATTATGGTTGTATCTGTAGCGACCATCTATTCTTGTGGAAATATTCTGCCAACATCTAGTATGCTAAAGTGCATTCTATCTCATCGATGCACTATTTGTGGCAATAATGAGAAATCTATATAGTTGTTGAGTTATTTCTGTGTGGCGTGCAGGGAGGAGACAACGCAAGAGCTTTGAAAGCTTACGAACTTATGTGGAATTCGGGCTATCAAAGGGCTGTGACAACTGCCACATTCAACAAGCTCATCCAATCTGCCAGCCAAACAGAGGGTCTCGAAAGTGCTCTAAAGGTTGGAAATTTGCCTAACCAGTGATATTTTCTGGATCGCCTTGTGAAAATGTATAAAAATCAAATCGAACAATCAATGGGCAACGCATATCTATACATTATTACTGTGCATGCTGGATTACAGTATTCTCTCTGAAATGACCAATTAACAGCGGAATCTATCTTCTATTTACTGGTTGGTGTTGCACAGATGTACAGAAAAATGCTGGATGCAGGCTACAAGCCTGATGCCATCACCTACAGCACTCTGGTGGTGGCTTGCAATAGGGCGGATGATCTTGAACAAGCTCTCTCCATCAGTCAAGAGATGGAGGGATTAGGTGTCAAACCCAATCAGGTTTGGACGCATTTCGCAATGACCATGAGTTCAGCTATACATTCTGAGTCGACCTTTTCATACCCAGTGTCATCAACCTCCCACTTCGTGTTGGCAGATACCTTAGCATTTAATGGCACCACGAACTTGCTAAACTTGTGCGAGTGAGAACCTCATTCTGCGTGTTAATTTCTCACAAAGAAGGTGTAAAGTCCAAAAAGCATCAAGAATGGGTCATCGTCCTTGAAGGGATTCAATTCTAGGCACAAACTGCAAGACAATGAAGTGGTGACATTTTTCCTGTTTGGGAATGTGTCTACTAGGTGGTGCAACATTCTCTTATTGCAGCTTATGGACAAGCAGGTCAATGGGAAGATGCTGTAGCAACTTTTAGAGTTCTACAAGAAGGGGAGGTGATTCACCTATCATTTTAATGCTGAAGTGCCAATTTTCCTATAATATGAATACAGCTTATATTATACGTTATGTCTATGGATTGTTTGGCTAGGAGGTTCAATACGGATTCAGATTGAAATTTGATTGCATTGCAGGAGCAACTGACCTCAGTGTCATACAGCATCATCTTTGATGCATGCTTTGGAAAAGGAGGAGCTGAAGCAGTTTTGAAGAGGACAAAGCCTGGAAAGCTAGAAATTCATCCTGGTGAGCCAGACTATCAGTTTCAGATTGCCGCGCTCATGTGGTGTAGGAGATAATTGAAGATGCGCTTTTGCAGCTATTGAACACATCCTTAACAGATGTGCACATTATTGATTCTTTTCTGACTTTGTAATATTGCTCTTGACTGCTTGTGTGATAGGTGTCGAAGCTGCAATTGGCTTATATAATGAGGCATCAGAATTCGGGTTTTTCACAAATTTTACACAAGCTGACCTTGCCAGGTCCGCTTCACCATTTTCATGCTTTACTGGTGAATTTGTTGTTCGAATAAATGGAGCTGTATGTTTGGTTTGACTAAGTGTTTTCTGAGCTTTCTTTCTTGTTTGGCATGGATGGCTCCAGGTGTGATGTGCGGACAATGAGTATATCAGGGACCGTGGTAGCAATTCTGGCCTGGCTTTTGATCATTGGGCAGGAGCCTCCGGCCTTGGATCTGACTATCATTACAGGTGTGAAGAAGAATACGGTACGTCATCTTTTCAGACTCTCACCTGTGCTGTGCAGTTTCTGGTCAACTATCAAACTTCATTTCTCTCTGAGTACTCGTTTTAGTTTTTATTCTGATGGTGAGGAAGATTCAAGTCGCATGGCTACTTGGAATCACATCTTATTCTATTCTTTTGAAAACTTTAACTCTTTGCCCTCCATTCATTGGGGTTTCATGTCTGTGACCAAAAGGTGCAGATTTGGTCGTCGTTTCTACTTAAACCTTTTTTTAGCTATTCCTTATCAGCTAAATCCTTGGCTGGCCTTTGAGTTGGTCATTGCCATCCATAGTATGAGATCCATGTTTCTGATATCAATTCCACTGGATCACTACTGTCCAGACTGGAGCAAAGCCGCGGAAGGTTAGGTACACAAAGAATCACAGTATTGCTCTGAGCACACTTGAAGCTGTAGGATTGCCATGCAATGCATTGAACACTGCTACAATGCAGGTATTGACTGTAAGTGCAGCTGATATTAAACGATGGCTTGATGATGCACTAGGGGAACATATTGATACTCCTGTGGTGGAGGAGGTAATTGCAGGCAACGGATTATAATGACCATTCATGTGCAGATTTCTTCATCGGAATTCTTAATCTTATTATAGCAAATGAGTTTCGGAATCTTGTTTTCTTTTTTCTTTTTTAAAATTGTAGCAATGTATTTGTAAAACGAAACCTAAAAAATGGGTTGATTGAGCCCCTTCTTTTAGCTAATGAATGCGGACGTTTTTAGAGATAGATATGGCTGTTTTTGGAGTTCTTAGAAAGTGGATTCGAAGCAAAACCTCACCTCTAAACGTCTAGCTGTTGGCTTTCTATTCAAAGGAAGATTTTACATATTTTTATTCTTAAAATCCTCAGATTTATCTGTTCTCTTGTTTGAATAAGGAATTATATTTCAGGTTATTGACCTACACGTGTAAGTGGCAATTTCTTCGACTCAAAATGAAGCAGTGTTTTATTGTTGGCTTCATCTTTCAAAACTCTACCTATTTTGTTTTGAGCACTTAATAGTGAATTCCCAAAGGAGGATGTGGATTTCTAACACATTTGAGGGAGTTAGCAGGTCTGCAAGAAACCAACTTACCTTGTAGTTACAAGGTTGTATGAATATGATGCTCATTTATTTTGGATCAATTGATGTAGAGACGTATGTATTGAATCTATAGCATAGTTAGGTGGGCAGACTTATATTGTTTCAATTTGTCCTAGTAATATTTTAAATTATAGTAAAAAAATCTTAGGTATTTAGACAAAAAAATTATAAACTTGTTTTCTTAATTACTTTGTATTAAAAAATATCCTTATTGAAGTTCTTATTATTGGAAAAAACAAACATTTCTTTGACAAGTTTACAGTAAAGTAATTTTAAGTCATTTTTTATATAACAATTAGCTTTAATATTAGTTGATTTTTTCAAAAGATAGGTGTTAATATTTTATAGTTCATCAAAACATTGTTAATTAATCTTTTTTGTTATGATTTGTATTATTCATTGAAGTAATTTTATATTTTAAAAAACAAATGTGCAATGATTATGTAATTTTACATGTAAGTAAAAAATAATCATGAAACTTAAATAATAAAATAATATAAAATGTAAAATAAATAAATAATTTTAATAAATTATATTGTAGAATATACTTATATAGCTTATAATTTGGTTATAATTTAAATTTTTTACAAATTGCTTATACATTCATGTCTGCTATACTTGTTGGTATATGAGTTAAAACTCATCTTTTTATTTCATATATATATATATATATATATATATATATATATATATATATACCCCTATATACATATCTACATACATTAAAAAAAAAAAAAAAAAAAAAAAAAAAAAAATGTCTATCTACAAAAATTCTTGATTGATTGAGGTTGTTAGCATCATTTAAAATTAATTATAATGCAATCCTAAAATTATGAACCGCAAGAAGGACATTGAGGCTTATTCACATTGCAACCTCATCTCTTATATAAAACAGCTCAAGGGAGACATATAGAGAGGATAAACAAGAGACAATACAATGTTGTATTCAGCGAAGTATGCTTGATAATGCATTGAGCACCTGGCTATGGAAGGTAAAATAGAATTTGCAACAAAAAAATCCTAACAATTCTAATAGAATCCTAAACAAACTCTAATTAAATCTTAACAATTTTAATCCATTATTAATCAAATCCAAAAGAAGTCTTAAAGAAATTACCAAAGAAACATTAAGAAATTAAAATTAACCTTAAAGAAATATATATAAAATAAATAAAAATAAATAAATAAAAATAGAAACTTTAAATGAATCCTAAAAAAATCCTAACCAAACCTTAATCAATTCCTAGTTATACCTTAAAGAGAATCTAAACAAATTCTAAACAAATCCAAGAAAATTCAAATTAAATCCTAATCAATCCCTATATTTGTTTTAAAATTTCCATAAATATTAATCGAACTATTGATCTTAATTCAAATTTCACTTACATTTCAATCCACAAGCAATTAACAGGCATACAAAATTTGAGAATAATTGAACTTACCAATCAAAAAAAAAGTTTCTAAACTTGTTGGATGTTAGCCACCATCCTTCTCCAATATGGATGTTGATTTTTCATTAGCAATTTTTCGTTTTTGAACCATTCAATTGCTTCAAAAATTAGTTTGTGTGTGGATTTCTAAGTCCAGATTCTTTTCATTAAGTTTTGCTTCAATGGAATTAGAGGATTTTTCATGATCATAAAAACCCTCATTGATGCTAAATTTCCAAAATCTAAGTTCTTAATCCAATATAACTTTCATATCCTTCCTAAAGATGCCAATATAATTTATTTTCTTGATCTATTTTTTTTTGCCTTATTAATGGCCTTACAAAGTAAGTAGAAGCCTCTTTTATAAGAAGGTAGCATTAATACTAATTAATTTTTACTACCTCCTTGTCTATTATCTATATTATTAAGATAATTTTCTAAAATATTTTCATTTAAACTCTTCTATAATATAATTTTTCCTTTTCTCTTTTATCCAAGGACTAAGTTACAACATGACAACATCATTTTCATTTGATACATGCCTCATTATTTCCATTAAAAGTGAAATAAAAGTAGTTTCTATATACTGATTCACAAGGCCCCTAACTTTGTTAACTCTTAACTTTCTTCAAGTCAAGAGCTAATACCATAATAAAAGTACATACTTGCTAGAGTAGGTAGATCTAAGTGATATACCATCCCTAAGTTGATATATACAATAATGTCAATGCATAAAAGGAGAAGAATGGGAATCCACAAGAATCATGCAAAATGGAGAATATTTATATTATAGTATTGTTGTAAGAATAATATTAAGGCTTATTTATGAATATCTTCTCTAATAGAAGTAGTTGAATAGGAAGTAAAAAAAATAGGGGTAAAAAAATGGAGATATGTTTACTATATGTATTTATTTGGTAGACCTCTTATTCAACTACTTTATTTTTTTCTAGTTTGTTTGTTACTATACAATGAGGTCGCTCTTCATTTGCATTTGGATCTTGAAAAAATAATTTTGTGGATCTTCACATAAATTTACATAGAATCTATAGTTGTTGTGATTGTTCAAACATCTCATATATATATATATATAGATATATATATATATTGATGAGATTTGTTAAATTTGGATGAGGATCTTTCTCATGTTCTATTAAGACATTTTTGCTTTGAGTTGCTACATTTGACACAAGTTGTGTCTATCTTCTCAACTCTAAAAATTAAGGTGAGAATAACAATATTGATGTTACTCTTTATGAAAGCATTGTTGCTAGAGATGTAGCATTTGGCTATTAAATCTATCATTATTAAGTAATTTGGTGCTAGCATAGAGCAAATTGTCTTCTTCCATAAACAAAATTGTCAACTACAATGGTAGATTGGCTTCAAAATGGCTATTATATAGTATTTTTTTTTTATTGATGTTTGATTTATGTGGTCGCCTATCTATTGGATGTAGTTCTTTATTATAGTGATTCCAAGTAAGAATATTGGACATTAGTTTGTTATCTAGATAGCACTAATACTTGATGTTTAACTTTGGATATTTTATTTCTAAAAATGATTTGCAATACATGGTCTTAGAGTAATATTGGGATTAATAATTCCATCATAGCCATCGCTTTTCTTTGGCAATAAATAATATTTTTTTATTAAATTGTATCTTAATTTGATGGTGCAGCAATAATTGGACATTTTATGTACTTAAAATTTCTAAGACATTAGAAAATAAATCCTTAGATTATCTATATATTCTCTTTTGATATGTCATGTTGTCTTCATCTTTTTCCATGAAAACAATACAGATTCAACTAGTGCTTAATAAAACAACTCCCTTTATGGAATTTTCCTATTTAAACTAAGACCACTTTCATATGATAGCCTCGTGTTCAATACAATTTGTATTTATATTAGAAGAGTAATGAAAATTTATTATTAGAGTAATAAATGAATTTTTTTGATTATTTTTGTGATGTATGGATTACTAATAATATTAATAATTTATTTATAGAATTAATATATATATATATATATATATATATATATATATATCTATAAATTTTTTTTTATAATATTTAAGTTGATATATTGTATTTATATGGTTGTTGCAATAATATTTCTATAGTTTTAATCTCATACAATGAATATTTTATTTGTAAGCTAAAAGTATTTTTAAATAATAATCTATATTATTAATGATAATATTTAAGGTCAAATATGAATATTTTTTTTATATATTTTATTTATTCATGTATTCTAATTTTTAATGGTTGATTAATTAATTTATTGTGGTTTATAATGGTTAATTAATTGGATACACAATTCTTATAAATAATATTTATTGGATGCCAAGAGATACTTTTTTAATAATACAAGGGCTACCTAGAAAGAACATATAGGCTAAGCAATTGAAAGAGATAAGTTTCTAATATAAGTATTTATTCAACTTAATAATTTTATCAAAGCTAATTTTTTTAATGTACTTACAATAGCAAAGAATTGATGGCAAGTGAAGTCCATATGAAGATAGAAAAATATAAGGTAAAATTAAATATATATATATATATATATATATATATATTGAAAAATCAATATGAATGTATGAGATAGTCATTAATAAGATTTGTACTAGGAACCTCAAAGATATAAGAGATTGCTCTAAAGAATAGACCTAACCTCTTTTATTTATACAATCCACAAGCAACAAAAAAATATTTATCTTGATAGATGCCTTCTCCCTTACTTGTTGTCCACTCATTATCATAAGATAGCAAATGAGAGACAAGGGATTATATCAAGCGGGCTTTGTAAATGAAAACATATATTAGATAGACTTCATTTATATGGCTCAATTTGAGAGTAGCATTGCAAAATTGTGGTTCCTTAGAATTAATAGTAATTATTATTTGATACAATTGAAAGAAAAACATTAAATTTAGCATTTGCATTAGATTCAAAAATTACATAAATTAAAAAAATTAAAAAATTAAAGAATTTAATATTCAAAATTATGTACATAAAAATCAAAATTATCTACATTTCAAAATTTGGAAACTTTAGTAGTTACAAACTTTGTGACAATCATGTTTAAATTCACTCATTCCAAAGTTATCAAATCTATTCTCAAAACATTAAAAAAGATAGAGAATAATTTAAAAAAAAAAAAAAAAAAAAAAAAAAAAAAATTATGGATATAGTAACTTAATGTATTTAAGATTCATTTAAGTTAATTGATCTTGTACTAGATTCAATGTATAGTTACAAAGACAATGCTCTTGTACTGATAAAAAAAAAATTAAAGATCTACCATAACTTCATTCATATATAATAAGGCTTCAATTACAAAATATGGTTGCTATTGGATTTTGTTATTGCAAATGTGTAACTTGTGATAATTTTGTATAAAATAATAGTGAATTAAAACATAATTAAACTTATTCTGCAATAAAAAAACTAATTAACTATCTTATACAATTGTTTGTTATCTATCTTTAATATTGGGAGTCATGGTTTTAAATCTACTATTCATTCCATATGACACAATATTCTTAAAAGAATACAAGTAATAAGTTCAAAACACTACGGCTTGTAAATAAATTTGAGATTTTATAGAATATGTCTTTACATCCAACCTAAAGGAACTTCTATTTTGTTTTTTGTATGTGTATAAATTTTGAATAAGACACTTGTAAGAAATTCACAACATGAATACAAGAAAATAGTATAATATTTACTATTAAAATTGCTAGATGTAACTTTTTCAAAATTTTCTTACAATACAATTTTAAGAAAAAATATTTCAATAACTGTGGGCATTTATAATTTACAAAACTGAAGCCAAATTAAGACTTTAAGTGAACTGTATACTTCTTTTTGCATTTGTCTGTGGATATGTTGATATATTAGTGTTACTATTAAATATCAAATTTTGTAATGAATCAAAGCATTTTTGTAGGTTCTTGCAACTGTTTACATAATATATAATACTCTCTAATTTTGAAAGAAAAATTATATGTTAGTTGAAAAACAAATCTCCACACTATATATTCTACACTGCAATCTCATTTACCACGGTATTTCTACTCCATCTACAATCTTCTTCAGCATTTTGACAAATTTATGCGAATTCATGACTAATATTCTTATTGCAATTTTATTAAAAATTGAGACTCTTGTTACAACCGATCACAAGAAAAATTCTGACTCTCCGAGCCTCAATGACTGTTATTGACACTACCAATGCCAACTCCAGGTATCCACAGAAATTTCCTTCATAGCTTGTGCACAAGCTACATCACACTGTTTACAAAAAATCCTCTTTCCTGCCTCATCAGACAGACTCCTTCCAAAACTATACAAGCTTACGTAGCCTACACTAAGTCACAGTTGCTGCTTCGCCTTTGTTGAGTACACCAATTAAACTGAACTGAATGAGAATGCTCTCATTGCTCCATGTTAATGACAGCTCGCAAGCATTTTCCGGCTTCCAGCAAGCCAAACGCTTCATTGATCTTGCCTAGAGGAAACTTGTGAGTGATGTACTCGTCAAGTTTGATTTCCTGCAAAAAAGTGCAGGGATAGTATCCATCAGCAACGAACTTCCATAGGAGGACTCATGGGTATCACTTGCGTGACAGATGTGTGCATTCAACAAGTGTTCAGAGAACTGCTTTACTAAATTTAAATAAGATGTACAAGACGAGCATAGTCTGATCTGGGAAGCAGTAACGATTTGGTGAAGTGAAGATAAAAATGGACTCTCACCTGCTTCATATACTCATCTACAAGCTTAGGAACATCCGTTCGACTTTTGTAACCACCAAATGCAGTTCCCTTCCAAACACGACCCGTCACAAGCTGAAAAGGGCGTGTTGAGATCTCCTGTCCAGCTGCCGCTACTCCAACAATCACTGAGGTTCCCCATCCCTGAGCAAATGCTTTGATAGTTACCATCTGAAACCTTTGAATTCTGGGGTTCAAGTAATAGTTCCACTCTTTCCAACTGCTAATACACAAGGATCAAGATTGTAGTATTTTGTGTTACCTTGTGACAAGCCTCAAGAGCTGCACGCATAACTTGAACATTGCCTATGCACTCAAAGCTGTAATCCACTCCACCATCGGTCATCTCCACGAGGACCTGTTTAAAACCATTTCTAGTGGTGTTAAGTGAAGCTATTCAGATCAGTTTTTTTCGGAATGGAGTTGCATTTCAGCAGAAGATACAGTGTGAAGAGAAGATGAGTATCGTCATCAATGATTGTAAAAGATTGACCCGTTCTGGTGGCTAGTTGAAAAGCAGTAAAGAAAGATGAACTTGGAGCTAGCTTTGGTTTCGATCAACCTACATCTTGAATGGGCTTATCGAAGTCCTTGGGATTCACGTACTCCGTAGCTCCAAACTTCACAGCTGCAGCATGAAAGGCAAACAAATCAGGTTAAACAGGCGCAAGTAAGCAAGAGATACAAGTATACTGCACCAGCATACACTTTCAGTGAAGATCTGCATACCAAGATCAAACTTCGAAGGATCTGTGTCAACTCCAATTATGCGCTTAGCTCCTGCCTTCTTAGCTCCTTCACATACCTGCCATACAGCTGGCGTTTATTAAAAATTGACTGCATGAGTTGAAACATCATAATAATTTCACGTCATAAGCGACAAACAATTTAGTGAAACTCAATCTCTACATGGAATTTTCTGTATAGGATAGAATATCAGGTTTAAGTCTTACAGCCAGCCCAACTGTGCCAAGCCCAAATACTGCCACATTTGAACCTGGTTCCACTTTGGCCGTGTTAAACACAGCGCCCAACCCTGAAAACACAAAAATACAGATTATAAGGTTAAAGTTTCACATACAGCATGATGAAGTCAGAGAAGAAGCTCCCGTAATCTGAAACCAGAGAATTCACCTGTTGGAATGCCGCATCCAAGAAGACAGACTTTGTCAAGAGGTGCATCAGGATTGATTTTCGCTACAGACACATCATGCAGAACAGTATATTCACTGAACGTTGATGTCCCCATGAAATGATAGATGGGTTTCCCAGCAACTTTGAACCTCGACTGGCCGTCGCTTAGCATGACTCCCTTTCCAGTTGCAGGACGGACTTTCCCACACAAATTCGTTTTGCCGGATTTGCAGAACTTGCATTCACGGCATTCAGCTTGGTAGCAAGGAATAACATGATCTCCAGGCTTCAACTCTGTCACTCCCTCGCCTACACTCTCCACGACTCTGCGACATATACCACATCAAATCATCACTCATCATTCAACGTCTTACAAAGAAGTGACGTGACGAACCCACAACCGCGACTGGTACTCTTACTGTTTAACAACATGCAAGCTACACGCATATTGATTACCAGAAAAGGAGCCCAGGACTATAGGTGATTCAACGAAAAGAGTTGCGTTAAAATCTAAACTCAACATACCCGGCAGCTTCGTGACCCAGGATACAGGGGAATAGTCCTTCTGGGTCCTGCAGCTCAAGATATAAGTTCACTTTAGTCCAGATTCGAAAATATCGTGACAGATAAATGTTTGAAATGCAGATACATTTCCTTTAACTTCCATTTGGACAAAAACACTTCTGCGTAAAGTTTCAGTACGAACGACGGTACCTTGCCGCTGAGGGTGTAAAAGTCAGTGTGACAAAGAGCCGTGTAAAGTATTTTCACTCTTACTTCGCCTGCCTGGCGATTAACAACATAACTATCAGATTGGAATTAAAATAATAAGAATGAGGCAACATCACAGCAAGATGTCATCATAACAAACAGACTGCGCTGATAACTTCTCAGGTATAAAAATTAGAATTTAAAGAGCAACTCCAATGCGCAATGTTCTATCATTTGAACCTGAGCATCAGTAGGACATTTAAGGCAATAGCTTTGTAGTGAGATTGGTTTCTATTCTATGAAAAGAAAAAAAACTAGAGTTGAAAGCTTACCTGAGGAGGTGCAACTTCGACATTTTCTATAACAAGAGGCTTGCTCTTCTCATAGGCTATGGCGGCTGCATGCATCAAAGAAATAACACAAATACTGAAATTGTGTACTTACAACGCAACCATGATCATACTCTTCTCAAAAACTCAATAACCAGATTTCCCAACGATTCTCGAACCACAGCACTATTTGTGGTGAGTACAGGCAAGGCAGATGCCATTGGAGAGGCGAGTCACTTAGTTTCAACTAACCACATGAGTTTTTCTAGTGAATCAATCTACTTGGACTCTACTCGTGTGGCATCATCACGTCTCCAAACCAAATTCAATCGAGGTGCAATGCAACAGTCTAATAAACCATGTCAACCCAGGCCAGTTCAGCTGTAATTCAGTTCAAAACGAATTTTCGCACTATAGATACGGCACTTCCCCCAAACATTCATCTCACACGCAAAGCCTCGCTTCCACAATCCAATGCACCCTACCCATGTCAACCAAGCAACACTATCCACACTTTACAGCAATCTAAATGGAATTAAAAAAGGCCGTCCCACAACGCCACATAACGTGACAATCTCGACCCCCAATGAACAACCTCCACCCTACACTTCGAAATTCAACTACAACAACAGCAACCTATACTAAAAAAACACATACAAGTCAACTCATTCTAACACTACCTAGATGAAGAATGAGTCTTTTTTTTTTTTTTTTTTTTTTTTTTTTTAAACATAACGCCTCCCCTCAAAAGAAAAACAGAATGGAATAAGAGAAAAACCAACGGTAGGTCAGAGAACCAATAGACCCAACGTCACAACCTCCCCCCCCCCCCCCCCCCCCCCCCCCCCCGGGCAAGGAAACCGAGAAACGCACCTCGACAGGTAATGGGCTTCCCCTGGGTAGAAGAATTGTCGACCTCCCGGTGCGATGCGGGTTCCGGCTCATCTGCCATGGAGCGAGATTGCGAGGAAGGGGATGCGAGCTGTGAGGAGGAGAGTGGGGAGAGGAAGCGGAGACGGGGCACAGTGCTGCGCAGCGAGCGTGTGATCATAGAAGAAGCCGCCATAAAATTAATTGAAAGGGGACCCAGAGCGAGCAAACAAGCAAGACCAAGCAAGCAAGCGAGCGAGAGAGGGGGAGAGGAAGACACTTGGATGGCGATGGCGATGGCGAAGTGGCGAAGAAGCAGCTCACGCACTCACACTCACTCCCCCATCCCAATGAAGCCGATGCCGCACTTTCCCACTTCGTCTCGCTGCTCCTCCGCCGCCTCCCACCTCCTTGTGCTCCCATATCCGCGCTTATCCCAAATCCACTATGGGTTCTAAGACCGTGGTAACGACAATTGAGTTTATTCATCCGCGGGGATGAAATCTGGCGTCTGTTGGTTGGAATTCTGTGTTTACTGGTTTGGTTGTGGTTTTGGGTTTGGCTTGTCCACAATTTGATGAGTTTCTTTCTTTTGTTTTTTGAGTTTTTTAAATGTTGTTGTTGGATCTTAGAATAATAATATTAAAATAATTTTATTTTATGAATTTTTTTATTATTATTAATATTATTAATGATTGTAGTTTTTGTAGTTTTGTTTATGTTTGCATCGATTGTAACTAAATAAACTTTAATTTGGTTTCGAATGTTTATGTCTGTTCATGCATGAAAGTGCATAGATGTATTTTAATATTTATTTTATTATTTTTATTTCAAAAAATAATGTGGAATCTATTTATAATGGCTTGAAATTTATAATGCACAAATATTGCATGCATTTGATAACTTATGGTTATGGATTAGCCTAAAATTTATTTATGAGGATCATGCATTTGAGAATAGAATAAAATTTAATAATGATTAATTACTTTAATGTATTGAACATTTTTGAGAATTTTTGTAAATTTATTTATCCATTAAATAATTAATCAACTAACTATGTTGTTTCAAATGATAATTAGAGTGAGTGGGATCCAATCTTGTTGTTTCCAGAGCAATAAATTAGGTGAATCAATTTATTTTTGTGAATTATAAATAATATATTTTACTTCAAATAATAATTTTGTATATTTTGATTTTTTATAAGGTAATATTATATGTAGTATTTTTTAATTATTTAAGGTATTTTAAATTTATGTTAATAGTATTTGATATAAAAAAATATAGTATTACCTTTCATAAGTTATCTCCCAATATGTAAAAATCCTGGATAAGTTTTGAAAAATTGAGGAACTGACTTGGTTACACTATAATTATGTTATAATTCTCATAAGTTATCAATTATGGCCAAGGAAGGAAAAAAAACTAGAAGGCTATAATTTTTTGGGGGGTGTAAATAGTAGAGAATCTAGCTTAGCAAAAAATCCATTGTGCTCTATTATAGGGCTTCTATATGCAACTTCTGTTGAATGTTCCAAAGGATCTTGTAAGAAGCATATTCACCCACTTTTCCAATGTCCAATATGGAAATAACCACGAAAAGGCTTTGCAGCTTCTCCATTCGTATGAACAATGTTGGCACATAGTCTTTCTCAAGGGTATTGTCAATACCTTCACCTTCCTCTACTTGTTGATGGCAAACAAGCTCAATAATTTTGTAATCATCTAGCTTGACATGTGCATCATTTTCTTCAATTGGATTGAGCAAGTTTTTGATTGACATTAGATTTTGTAATAGAAGACCTCAAATTATGCCCACCAACTCTTCTTCCACTATTTCTTTGTTGTTAATTTTTGCGACTTTGAATTCGTGCTCAATCAATCTAATATGTAAAAAATAATTTTGTATTGTTCTTGGAGATATTTATGCCCCAGTTGCAAGTGACACCATATTGTCTTCAATTAGTCGACCTTGTATAAGTTGATTTCATTTTGTTCGTTTTGGTCAAGTGCATTTTGCAAATAAAAGTGCCAATAGTACCACTTGAATGCCACAATGATTCTAGCATTTACTAGTTAGATTTTCAAAGTTGCATTTAGAAGAAGTGTACAAATATCTACGTTGAGAGAAATCTCATCATGTATAATGTGCAATGATGCATTGTCTATGATGAACAAGATCCCTCAATGTATTGTCTCCATCTCTTCATCTAGATTTTTGAGCCATTTCTCAAAAAAAAAAAAAAAAAAAAAAAAAAAAAACTCAATCATCCATGCTTTCTTGTTGGACCAATAATGAAAAAAACCAATTGTTTGCTTGTGCAACAATTGAAGCATTAGAGCTTGTGGGCATGGCTGATAAAAAATGGTGGCAATTTGTGGATTCCATCAACATTGGCTATGAATGTAATGGTGATCTCTGCAATTTCCTTTTTATAACCTGCAATTTGTTGTTAAGCGACGATTTGGTCATGCACCATATTATAAAACATTCCCATTTCACTTATGTCATATACATCACACAAATCATAACTTGTAATGTAAGTGTGTAGAGTATACATTGTTATATCAATAACAACTTGATTAGTTGAGCTTGCCTCTTCATGCATTTTGATCACTTTCAACTTATGACAAGAAAGAAATTTCTCAAACCAACTATTTGAAAACTCCATTCTACCTTTTGGAATTGCAAGCATCTCTACAAGGTGTTGATATTGCTCTTTAATGAGCTCTGTTGACAACAATATATTTTGAAATTGTTGTTGTAAAATCCACATAGTAAGTGATTTGTCAAGGTTGAGAAAGTGAACCATCCTTAGGTACTTTGCTTGAAGTTGGTTCTAATTTATGGCTTTATACTCATGTCATTTCTTCAAGATTCTACCAATAGCAACTTATAAGGGTGCTTTTGCAAGCTTAAACTCAGTTTTGGCCCACTCTATAAGGGCCCTCTGTGAAATCAAAGGTTATACGTCCCTCTATTTACAGATCAACAATTGTTGGGCATTGATGAAGCATGACATTATATGAGACATGCAATTGTTGGGCATACATGAAGGAAAGCACTAGGCTAGTGGTAAGTGGACACTGAAGCAAATTCATGGTTTCAGCTAAACCTGGTAAGATTTAACCTCTTATAAGTTATGTTTCAAGAGGTGAACGAACCCTAAAACTTACAAGAGGTAATATAATATATCTAAATGTATCTTATCAAAGATATAGAAACATTTTTAACAAAAACTATTGCCATTTTTTAATTTTGTTGCTCATGTTCTCTAATTTATTTCACTTATCAATAAGTTCAAAATATAAGTTCAATTATACTCTACTCCACAACATTCTTTTGGCAAATCCAACTACACACACCTTCATCCAACTAAATACAACTTCATTCAATAACATTGATTTGTAGAATTCATTCCTGCAATTTACAATCTATTCAACATGTGTATGTATATATATATATATATATGAATATAAAAGTAGTAATTTTATAAATTCTACAAATTTTAAAATACATAATAAATGTTCTAAATAACACACACAAGATCATCACCCAATTATATATATATATATATATACATACATACACACACATACATACGATTTTAGATCTCCACAGGTTTACCAAATGCAGTTGAAATAAACAATTCTGTACAACACCATAAAATATTGTCGCTTTTTCATTTCAACCTAAATTTCATTGCATTGGATTGCTTTACTGCCACATGGTTTATACCACGATGCTGTGGAATAGAGAGTTCAGATAGAATAAGTAACTGCCCCACAATCTATCCGTTATGGTGCACCTGTTATTTTGGTTACACTGCAAGAGAAGAGAAACATTTGAAGATCAAGCTTGAACTGAAGATCAAAATGGTAACAACATCCCAGTTGAGTTGATAAACTGTCACTTTTCAGAAGTAGAAATCAAGTTGGGGCCAACAAACGAAACACTCCCCTCCCCAAAAGCTTAAAGTATGCATCATCGTTACCTCAAAATGCTGTGTGAAGTAGCCCTCACAAGACAAAGTTAAATATTTAGTGATATCTAGGTTTTAGAAATCGAAGTGGGTACCTACAGAAATCGTATTACGCAAGTGTCAACGCCATTAATGACACTGAGTTTCGGTCTCATATTGCCACTGTTTCATTAATAGCTGTTCAAATAAGCGTCTATCGAACAAGTCAGGAGAAAAAACTTGCAGGTATTGGCTGCTCTTATTGCACATAAGCAGTAAAACCTCGGTTGATAGCGAAAAAAAAGCACTAACACCGCATGGTGTATGTATGCCAAGTGTATGCATTGACTGACCTATCCAGAGAAGAAAAGCTTTGGCCGTTGCTGATTCACAGAATCTAGGCGTACTGGCTCAACCTCGGAGGTGGAGATCTTTATGTTGAAAGTATGCTCACCAGGGAAATGAATGCGCTAAAACTGGACTTGGAAGCAAGAAGCAATCGATGGTGCTTCTATGCAAAAAAATGAGACTAAAATGTTTTCTGTACACAGGCTAACTCACGAGTGAAGAGGCCACAATGGGCTATGTCAGTGATGATCCTCTTCAACTTGACTATCTGCCACGAGTTAAATGACGTCAGTCCAGACGTCGGAGAAGATAGGCCACCTGGACCTGCTTGGTCAAAGGCATAACCCAGTCCTCGTAAAGAGCGCCCGCAAGGTCAGGATCGATCTTGTACCTTGCATTGTCAACCTTCCCATGCTCATTCACTTCCTGACCATAAGCCCTGGCTTTGTTTGCAACTCGCCTCTTCACATTGTCTTCAACGTTTTTGAAGGTTAATTCTCTCATTATTGCATCTCCATCCTGTAATACAACAACAGCACGCACAGGAAATTAAATACAATCCACCAAAACGCGCTCTCTGACGTACAGTCGGATCAGTGTCTTGTTGGTCTCATTCTAGAGAATGATTTTGCAGGACACGTCGCAGATTTACTGTCTTTGGTTACAAGGAAATTGAGTGGTGTAACAACAAATCCTGGAACTCAGCTCAACACACCCACTACTAGGATTATGCTTAGAAGGGAATATCAAAGGGCGGGTGCTATACCTGCGCCCTAATGTGGCACTCGAATTTCGCAGGATTCTCAGTGAATTTCGCTTCTGCCACGAACTTGCCGTAATGTATCCGCTTAGACAGTGCCTGCAGAGAATCGTCGTTAATACTCTCCTAAAAAATCTTCTCAACAAGTTCCTGATGTCAACTGTTCAAAATTGTTCAAGAAAGCAGACTATGATATAGCCCCAGTATTCTAAATGGAATCATCAGTATCGACTTCAACTCGACCTACCAGAAACCACTTCACTACTAGTGAAGTCTACTACTGAAATCACTTTCTGCATAGACTAGAATACTATGGAAAGCATAGTACCTGGAGGCAGAGTACATCGCACATAGAAGCGGAACCATAATTGCCATCATCCTCAGGTGCGGTGAGCTTTGGTAGGAGATCCTCGAGGTACATATTCCAGATAGCTTTGTTGATGTTAATGTTCTCCGCCACTGGATGCAGCACCTGCAGACAGTCCTCTGTCATTCCCAAAGCCTCTAGCGCAGATATGAATTATTCTCCAACAAGCAATTATCAAAGTACAGTAATATGTTCGAAGCAATACTATCGAAGAAGGACAGAAACCAAATTAGAAAAATGTAGCAAGTTCTCACTTTGGACTTGGGGAGGCTGGGTAAAATAGGCTCAGGCAAGTCCTCGGGGAAGAAAGGATGTTCATCAGGTGCTTGATATCTCCGCACCTGCTCAGAAATGACGTTGTAAGAAGTCATGTCTTAAACTAAGAATGACAAAAGTGATTGTAAGCGGAGGTGACACAGCAGAAAATCTTGTGCAGCTTTCCTATCAAAGACCGGAAAGTGTAAAAAATGGAGAGCGTCAAACTCACTTTGGCATGCAGGGTCTCTGTCTCTTTGAGCATAAACTCAACTAGGGAACCTTGAAATCCTGGAATGGAGAAGGAATTGACATCATAGGTAGGGGCATTGAAGCTAAATTGTGCTCTTTGAAGCAGTGCGTAAATAATGGTATCCTCCTGGCGTATCAATGACTCGCGGATGTTGGCTAGAGTAAGGGGCTCGATTTCCGCTTCAACATCTCCATTGCTGTTGACATAGAAACGTCACAAGTTGGTACTGAGAATTTCAGCCAGAAAACTAAGGGTGTTGTGTTGTTCAGTTAGCTCGGTCAAATAACAGGACGTCGAGTATTCAATACAAAAATTGAAATTCAATTTTGTTTTATCTTTTAAAAAATGGCCCTAATTTCAGTAATATGCGCACAAACGCGTAGAGAGTTAAGGCTTCAGTGCAAACCTAGTGAGGGGAGGAGAAATGACAAGACCGCCAGATTTGAGGGAACTGGGTTGATAGATAGGGGCAAAAGCCTTGAGCAGAACGGGACGAGGTCGGGAGTTCATCTGACTCGCAGTTGACATCGGTGTAGCAGTCTGAGAAGCAGACCAAACCCACGAGGCAGTTAGAGCACACGCCATGATTGATTAAGCTCCCCAACAAATACCCAATTCGAGCAACATCTACACGTCCACCGCCCTTGAATCACCTTCTACTGCGGAGGCAGATCAACAACAGTTAAATGAAGCACTCGCTACGCCAAAACCAAGCAGAGCAGACACACATAAGCCGAAGCCTCCTAAACATGTATAGCAACAGAAACACAGAGAGTCTCAAGACGGTTCGCTCGTCTCAGTTTCAGAGTGGCGACCCAAGGAAACATCACACCACGTACACCTGCCAACCTAAGCGGGCCCATCTTTAAAATTCCCAAGTCAAAGTCTTCAACCCCAAAAGTCCACAAAATGCACCCGGAGTGAAGAAAAGGACAAAACGTTGCAGCCATCACTAACACAGAAAGAAAGTGGTCAATGACTAATCCTGCATTGAGTCCACGCACCAAATGGAACCTACAAACTTCACGAATAGAAATTGGTAGCCCCCACACCCATTACCAAACTTTCTAGTCTCACTCGCGACCATCTCTGCGACAGGAAATGGAGCCCAACTGCCTAGACACAGCAAAAAATAAAAACAAAGTTACAAACGCGTCTTCACAATCCACAAGGTCAACCGCTTACAAATTTCCTGAAACGCCGTCTTGGGCTTCAAAAGAAACAGCCTCGTCTACCAAGTCCCCAAAACGCAAACATTCAAACAGATTCCGCCAAGACGACCTACACAGACCACCAAAAGGGGGCATTCACATTCTTCAACCAGCGGGTGGGCAGTGACCAATTTAGCAGAGCAGAGAAGCTTAAAAGGAGACACGCAGCGCATCCGACCCAGAAGCCCTGACATGCGAGTTCTATGATGCAACGAGAAACGCATGGCCGTGGCATCGTGGTCGGGTACGCATGGGTGGTGCATTCCTCACCACGAGGGGAGTCAATCAAAGGCGGCTTTTTTTTCTCTGCCAAGTCCACGTCTGTGACTGCAAACCTAAACCTCCACCTCCACCTCCACTTCCACCCTTTCACCTTTAACTTTCTCCCTTCCCCGCCGTCTATTTGGTGGGGTTCTTCAACACCTTTTGCCACCAGGGGTGAAGCTCCGCACGAACAGCCCAAACGAGGAACTCATTTCACACCCCTGACAAGCGACGGATGACTTACGGGCTGGGGTCTCGCAGCTCTCCTGCGGCGTGTATTCCCCATTTGGAAATTACAACCCCATCTGCCGCGATCTCGTTTCCGTTGTGTCTGTGGTTGCGATCCCCCGAAGTCGCCAGCCTCGCCGCAACACTGCTGCTCGTTCCCTGGGCCTCGGACAAACCGAGGGGTAGTTCCTCACTTACCTCCCTGCCCGCTTCTTCCCGTCCCGAACATTCATCCATCGTCGGTTCTATGTGGTACATTCATCTCTATGGGCAGCTCTGTTCGTTGTCAAATATGCTGGTATGAATGTCACGCCACGTGTGGGGGTCGGAGATGGGGCAGATGGAGGCGTTGCGTGGGTGACCGTGGGGGAGGAATCCAAGCCGTGCATGCAACGTGGTTGTTGCCCTCTTTGGTGAATTATTTTGGAGGTGTTTCGAGATTTATTATTGGAGCCTTGGGTGTTGTTTACTATTCTTGGAGATGGTGTTTCGTTTCTTTTTTGTATGTATTTTTTTACATGTATATATGAAGAAACCAACAAAACAAAAACAAAAACACTCACATACATATATACATATACAAATTACACATGGTTTGAATTTTGTGATGGTGTTGTTTCCATCAATAGCTATTTTAGGTATGTGTGTAATGGGCAATAGAAACTTTGGCTAAAGTTGGTCATAAAAGACCAACTTTTCATAAACTTGCTAGTTTTTCATTTTTCTTAATGAGACATAGTCACTAATAAATAGTGAATTAATATGTCTTCAACTACATTTTTATTTGCTTATCAAGTTTGTATTAAATATGTAATTCATAAATAAAATAATTATCTTATGTGTATTTTCTTTGACTGGTATTAAGTGTAGTAGATCAAAATGTGGTCAGTAATCCAATTAAAATGTAAAAATAGATTGAAACTTCTAATTCTTGAGTAAAATAAAACTTTCTCATGTTTTTCTTAAGATGTTACATTACTCATATTATATTTCTAATTTATATATTTGAAATATCATGAGTATTTTCAAGCCTATAATAAATTGTTTTTAGGATCATTTTTCTACTATTTGTGAGTAAGATCATTTTCATGAGGAGAGAATTTATCTCATGACTTTTGTTTTAGTTGATAGTGCATGAATCACTTCAATTGTAGAACAATCAGATCAAATCAGCACAACCTCTTGTCTTGCTTGTATAATTTTGATGTTATCTCAATCAAGATAATAGATTTTAATCATATTGAATTTGTGTTAGAATTTGCAATAATTAAGTAAAACAAAGAACATAAGTCTTAATGTAATCATTAAATTACTCAAATTAAAAATGCCTATAAAACTTTTTGATTAGTGACTTCTTTACTGTTCAAGCATCACTACAACCAAATTGTTTTGCATCAAGCCTTGTATTATATTTTTAATAAATTTAATAAATATTTATAAAAAAATAAAGATGTATAATAAATTATCTTTCTATATATATAGGAGAATTAAATAGATCCAAATTTTTACTAAATCAAACCATTTTAACCCTCATGAAAATAACTAAATAAATAAATAAATGACATCTAGATTTCTCCATTATTGGAGGTAAAATCAATAAAAAATAACCACATTCATTATGATTACTATATTTTTCATCAAAGATGGGTGTATTTAGTAAAAGCATGGATCTATTTAACATTCCCCTATATATATATACACATATATGTATATATATATATATATATATATATAATTCTTTCATATGTTTTTAAAATATATTTGAATTTATGAATCTTTAATCTTTCATGAGATTTACTCATTCATACATATTTTGAAGAACAATCATTTTTAGTAAAATAAAATTCATAACTCTCAAATTAATATTAATAGAAGAACTAATTGGTTTTTATTCTCACATGCTTGTTATTATTGTCAAGATTTATAAGAATCTAGTTTAGAAGACCTTTGTATTTGAAGATGATTCTACAAAATTTTTTATTGAAAACAACACTTCTTATCTTATGAGATTCTCTTATTCTATTTAGTCTTATGAGAAGATTATTTGGGTGGTACGATCTGCAATTTCTTGATAAATTTCAAAATTTGTGTGCACGATGTATCTTATAAAGAAATCATATGGTGGTTTGTATGAGTTATTAGTCAAATTGTTTGGCTTGACATGATTAGTTGATAATTAAAAATTAATCTTATAATACTAGAAGTTTATATTCATCATTAAATTTTATACCTTGTAGACCTAATTGACATAACACAATTCTTAGCCAAAACCTATTGAAGGATTGTTTGTATCATTTATTTTAGTTTGTTTATTAAAAATATATAAATAGAATGCTAACCGTTAAAGACAACATTGGTGGTGAAATAAATATAAATGATTAGTAAATAAACAAGTTTCAAAATCGATTGAATAGTTTTTAAACCACAAAAACCATGAATAAATGTGGAATTATCCATATTTTGAAATTCAAGTGAAATAATTTTTTTCCAGATTAAAATATTTATTTATTTTTGTTATTTTATAGATCTTTTTGGCATCCTTTTTCACCTAATAAAAAGAGTATTATTTTATGTATTTACTAAAATAAAATATATATAAAAAGAATTGATTAATTAATTCTATTTTAATAGACTATTTTTATTTTACCTTATTATTTATTTTTTTCAAAAAATATAATTTTTAAAAACTCTATATGATAGTTAATTTTTAAAAATATATAATCATTACATTTTAGGTAGAAAAATCCTTTTTTTTGTAATATATCACATGTTTAATATTAATTTTTAATTTGATATTTGATTTTTAATTTTTTTAATATTAAATACTATTTTTCTATAAGTATAGTTTGATTATCACTCTTGTGCAACTCAAGAAGAATAAATATTCACTCCAAAACTAATATAATATTAAGACTAGAATGGTTATTGCCAAAGACAAGAATAGTATAGACTCTTGAAACTAGACTAAAAATAAGAAATCATTGATAAGATTGAAAAAGGCTTCATTCTTGCCTGTATATATACTATCTAACTAAGAGCTATGTGGCAACATTTTATAAAACCTCTAATAGGTGTCTAAATTATAAAACATATGTCTTAACTTGTAAGGAAAGTTTTTTTATATGTTTACCATATAATTAGCTTGTTTCACAAGCTACCAAGTAGTGTGACATGTGGCTAACTTGTTGACCAAGTTTCTAATCTATCAATCAACTATAAAAATATGTAAAATCAAAGTTGTATTTATAAAGCTTTTTGGAAGCTTCTTTAGAAGATATTATCAAATTAATCTATTTTTACCTACTTCTACTTAATCATATACATAATTATTAGAATAAATATGTATGTATATGATATTACAATAAGTTATGATTCTTTTTAAATATGGATTTATAAGTATTAATTGAAAAAAATTTCTTTTTGAGTGAAAGTTAAAAAATTATAGTTAGAATTTAATTTAAAAAAATTCTATATTAACTACTTTTTTGAACAACATTATATACAACTTAAATTTTTTAGAAATTTTAAATATTAAATTTAGATCTAATAAATAAAAATAGATACAATAATAATTTAAAAAATATTTAAATAAAATTTTATAATTAATAATATTAATATTAATTATATTTTTATATACTTGGTAATTGATACTAGTTCTTTTTTTAATGACTAGCCCTAGTGGTTATTTATATTACTTCAATTATTTGCTAGTGACTACTTATTCATATAATTTAATACACTTTATTTTTAACTTTGAGTCATCTAATTTTTACATGAATTAAGTATTTCTAACTTATCTTCTAAAGTTTGGATTCTATAGATTTAATTTTTATATGTGCACAATATCTTTAACTTACTTTTTACTATCCAAATCCTATTGTTTAAAATTCTTTATAACAATCTTAAATATTTAATATAATGATATTTTTAATCTTAATTTAATTAAATAACTTTAAATCTATATGATTAAAAATAAATAATAGATTATTGTGTGAAGCATGTATATATGTTAAGAATAAATGATTGAATTCACACATATTTAAAGGAAAAATAATTATTACTTTATATTATGGTAGAATTTTATGTGTTAGTAATTCTAATCATAGGAGTACTATTATTATTCTTCTAGTAGAAGTCAACAATGAGGTCTAATGTTTTTGCCATGAAGTTGTGCAATTAAAAGAAGCAAGTATAAGTATATAAACTTTACAAATGAATTTTAAAAGCATTACTACTACATGTACAAAGAAGCCAAAGATGAAAATACCAAAGAGATTAATTGGAAAAAGATTAAAATTATAATTTTTAATAAAAAATTATATTCTTTTTAAGGTCAATCCTTTTCAATATCTTAATAAAAAAAATTAAAGTACAATTTATAGGCATATTTTT